TGAGGTTGAGAAACACTACTCTTTGTTATCTTCGAAGAGACCTGCTTGTTCATGGGATGATAAGGCTGTTAGGAAGGATATATTGGTTCGAAAGGGGAAAACAGTTCAGTTGCTGGAATTTTTTGTAACCACATCCCTTCTGTATCAATGAATCTTGCAACAGAGAACCGTGGGTGACTCGTTCTGGGGAAAGAGCCACATCCAATTTTAGGCTTCTGTGAGAGTCAGAGAAGATCTCAGCATAGGAGAGCCTTGAGCAGGTCTTCTGTATTTTGGGTATAGACAGGATCCCATAGGAGGATCCCATTATCCATTTAGATAATGCGGTCACAAGCTGGGGACGGATTTACAGAGGGGTACTGGCATCTGGAACGGGAACAAAAATGAACCTGAAGCCAGCAAAGGGGATGTAACTCCAGGGTAGGTCTAATCAGCATGCATGCCAGCGTACAGAGGGAAGTTCCCAGACACTTTTTGACAGCAGTGCCATGAGCAAAGTTACCAGGGCATGGATCTCTACAGAATGCTCTAGCAAAGCACAGCTTTCCAGGGGAAACTTGCTGCACAATGTTTTAAGACTGCAAAACCAGAGGCATGGAATATTCTCTGGGATTATAAGCCTGATGATCCAACAGCTTGAGGTAGAAAAGGAAAACTGTTGATCTGTTGCCCAATTCTACCTTCTGAGTTAAGTCCATTTGATCCCTTGCACCCCAACGGTATTTGAAACAAATTCTATTTCTCTTGATGGCGCTTCCTTCTAATTACACCCCCTTCAATATCCGGAAACATGCCGCTTTGATTCACCTTCCTCCATTTTGGCATTTGCAATGAGCATCTGCCTGAGGTGCTTCAGGAGCCCAGGCCAAGCAAAGGTGGTGTAGGCAAGGGAATTCTCAGACATTTGAGGGATATTCCGGAGGCCCAATACCTTAAACTCTGGATGGGGAACTAAAGCTTCCATCAGGTCCCCTGGAAAGGAGGAAACAAAGATGAACAGTGCAGTTTTACACATCGATTCTATGCCAGAAATAACTATTATTCAGCATGGATGGGCCTTAAATGGAAACGTTATGGACTAGTAACTTGTACGGACTTCTTTGCAAACACCATTCACACGAAGAAGAGGACAGAAGAGGCTACCATAAGCACTGAGTTTTTTCAGCCACTTCCTTCTATCATACACAACATGTACTATGTTTCTGATGCTTTTGAAAACATGCTTCTTTGCTTCGCTTTACTAAGAAAAAATGCTCATTGTTGTAATCAATGTTTATTATCTGGATGCTTTCTTCGCATTCTTATGCAGCACTGATCTTGTCTTCTGTTTTATTTTGCTTTGCACTGCATAAGAATGATTTTGAGGAAAAGCGGGCTAGACATTTTTCAGAAGCAGCAACCGATACCTAGAGGTGACCTGCTGTAGTGAGCTGCCCCTTCGGAGGAGTAAGCTGGCTGGAAGGCGCTTCCCAACTGATGTGCAATCACTCGATTGATATCCTGGAAAGAAATCTGCTTGATGTTCATCAGCTGCGTGCAGATCTTATGGAGGGCGTCATTCTCGTGGACCAGAAGTGCGTCCGAGGACTGGTATAAGTGTGAGAGCGTCAGAACGGAGTTGTAATTTTGGACAATAACCTTGAAAAGAGAGGAGGGAAAAGGAGTGGCTTTATGTATGGCAGTTCTCAGGAAGCGAATCCCAGACCAGAAGTCCTTTGTCCTCAACCTCCGGGGAATCGTGGGCAGTGCCAGAAACGAGCTGTAGTAACAGACATGGCCGATCATTAAATACTCACCTGAAAGCTAGCTTGTGAGAACTACTCCTCACCGTACCTCCTAGGAAGGTATTGTTCAGCTGAACATTGCCTTTTTTTCTGGAGATGTAGACACCAAGGGCATCTGCCGGTGTGCGTGTCAAAAATGTCAAGGCAGTCCTGACTGTGCAGCTGAAGCTTCACCCAACTCTTTTTTTACATGTGTTGCAATTTACAGTGTTAAAAAAGGGGGGGGGCTTCAGCTGTGCAGCCATAGCCGCTATTGTCACTTTTATGACCCCCTCCTTGTGGATGCCCCTGGCAGTACAATTCTCAGCAAATCTCTGGCTATACCAACCCCCCATTTTTATTTTCTGTGGGGTTGCTGGGGGACTGTGGGAAATTCAGGTGCTACTTGCGGCCAGAGCTTTATACTGCAGCAAAGCTAGCTTTTCAGTTACTTATTTTTATTGAAAAGAAGCTTTAAAAAAAAAAACAGGTTGGAGAAAGAGCCCAACAGGTGCCAAGGGAAATATCTGTGGGTGGGAGCCTTAGCACCCATGGGGGCAACACTGGAGACCCAGACAGGAGGCATTCTTGGAGGAGGGAATATCCTCAGGAATACAGCACGTGTCTCCCCAAGAGGATTCTCGGAAGCTGCCGTGTGAAGTCCTTCAGCCTGCATTAGGAAAGAAGTACCAATTTCTCCTTTTTGGGGCCCTCCAACCCTTTCTGACCAGCTGCTGAAAAAGGCTGGCACAGTTTCTTGCCTTCTGGAAGCAGGAAACCCATCCAAACTGTGAAGTAATCCTTGAAGCAACTTGGCATCGCTACTCCCTTTCCTTTCCCCCAAATCCCAGGGAAGCCTCTCCCCCAGTAATTCTGGCTCGCTCACTCTGCACCGCTTCCTGCCTTAGGTTCCTTTTCACCCACAAGCAAGAAGATCCGGCACCCTCCACCAAAGACCTGGGACACTCACCTCCCCGGTTCCGTAGGGCCAGATCACGTGGTTGAGCAGGAAGGAGTTTGGATACGCCTCTCTTAGGGTTGCCGTCACAAACGCCCCCAGGCCCGACCCCGTCCCACCAGCCATGCTCATAATCATCAAGAAGCCACCGAGGCGGTCACACTTCTCCGCTTCCTTCTGGATCAGGTTCATGATCGCGTCTTCGTGCTTGGGACCGTGAATGCAGTAACTGGGGCAGAGTTTGGGAAGGAAAGGAGGAGGGGGAGGAGAAGCAGTGGTTCAGTTAGATCATGCAAGGAACAAACTGCCAAACCACCTGGTTATAGAAACTAGGGGAGGCATCAAGAGCCGTAGCTACCGCCTGGGCCACGAGAAAGCAAAATCAAAATCTACTGAGGCAACAGAGTTGGTAGGCTGAATAAATGTTACAAAGTCATTGCAAGCTTTCAGATTTCAAAAACTCTTCATCGGGCAAAACAGGGAGGGGAGGAAAACACCTGGCTGGTTTTGGAGCGATGTCTCTACTAGGGTATGTTACTGAAGCATAGGCATGTTGGTTTTGAAGTTTCTGGGTTTCTTTTCCCAAAACTTTCTTTTTTGTAACCTGCCTGCCTCATAGGAACAAGCTTGCTGAAGCCATACGTCTGCCGCAGTTTTGTGACTGCAAAAGGAGCTCTGATGCTTTATTCCTTCAGGGATAACATCAAATAAATAAATACAGTACAGAGAATCTTAATATTCTCCTTCCTTCCTGGACTGAACTAAACCTTTGCTTACTTGCAAAACACCATGATGCTTTTTGCAGCTACGCTTTGAGGCATTAATTGGAGAAATAAATAAATGCTTTGCCAGTCTGGATACAATCACACATACCCGTTTGCCCAATTGTTTCCCGACCCTTGCTTTTGACAGAAGGCAGACTGGGGGGCATATTTCCAACTCCCAGTTCTTGAGGCCAAAGATAAAGTCTGGTTGATCACTTTAGGTTCCATGTCGACCAGAACAGCCCGAGCGATCATACCTAAATAGGAAAAAGAGAAAAGCCAAACGTGTACTTAAAAACAACAAAATAAATAGGAAGTAATAAGGATATAGGAGGGCAAAACCTGATTTACTCCTATTAGGAACAGAATCTTCTCTAAAATGGACAAAACAGAAAACTGAATTCATATGTTCCTCTATATTCCACTGTGGTTGTGAATAACTTCTCAAGAATATAAAGAAAACACTAGGATCAACACTGGCCCGGTTTGCACATCAAGGTACATCATGGCTTAACCATGGTTTACTGAATAAACCAGACGTTGCTGGGATGATGCAATCTACCTAGCCATAAGATTAACAAACCGCATTATGATTTTACCATTGATCTTCTTGATAGATCTCTGTAATCAAGAAAATGTCGTTTTCCCCTTCTCTTCCCATCGCCCAATTCCCCCCCTCCTGAATAACAATCCTAGTTCTAGTTTGAATGTTGGACAAATGATCTGCTGCAGGTCAATGGCAGTTGTTCCCATGTGACATTTTATTACCTTTAAAGGACGGTGTTATTTTATTTTTAAAAAATCTGTACAGGCTAAGCTTCCTCCTATGTTCTACTCCATGTCAGAATTATTCTAGTTTTTAGGGGGAAAATGCTAGATGTCAACATTCTTACAGTTCATAGAATCAGAGGATTGGGAGGGAATTTAGGGGTCACCTAGTCTAACCTTCTGCCCAGTGCAAGAACAAAGCATCCAGCCTCTGTTTAACATCTCCAGAGAAGGGGAACATATCAGGTATCAGGAAATGTATTGACATATTGGCAAATAAATTAAAACTGGTGTTTTTGAAAGTCACAGACTATGGCATTTAAGATTTTTTCTCTTAAAATCTAGAACCATCCTGGGTGTATTTTCTAATTGGTGGGACGTGGTCCACAGTATGATGGATGATGGACTTCCGGTGGAGGTATTGCAAACTGAAGATGGCTCTGCAAAATCAGAGCCAACGACCGTAGCAAAGATCAAGGAATTGGTGAGTAGACCGGTCCCTTGGAACCTCTCCAGATGAGGAGAGGAAATTGCCCACATGTGCTTGAGACATCTGCTCCTCGCAAGAAGACCATATGACAGAGGTTTTCTGCGGGTCTGAGTGCCAGGAGATGATGGGATCCGCCATCTTGCTCACAAGTGCGGTGGAGCCTTTTAAAGGACACTAAGTTTGCAAACCTCACTTTCTAATAACTTTTGGAAATTGCCTATTAACTATCTTAAAGCTATTAGAGACCTTCAGAATGACAACTTTGAAAAATCTTCATCAGGCGAGTTTTCAACTCTGAACAAAAGAAAAATTAATTACAAGCTTAAGGACTTAAAGAATTTGAAATAAACAGCAAAAAGCTAAATAAGATTTTGATCTAAGAAAGGTATAAATGGATTAAGGGTCCAGATAAATTTGGAATATTGACTTTTACTATGAGATTTTGGAATGAATATAAAAAACAACAACAACTTCTTGTGGGAAACCGACTTATTTTGGCTATCCTAGTTATTGAAAGTCATTTGCTATGATGATTTTAGAAACTGGACACTAGAGGGGACTAAAGAATTTAAGCAGAAGAAAAAAAATACATGCATGATGTTAATTAATTCTGGGACTTACAAAATGATACAAAACGTTGTAACGTTGGGAATACTAAAGGAGATTTTTGAAAAATGGAGCCAGAAGTTAGTTAGTAACTACAATATTTTATATATATGTATGTATGTATGTTTCAAATTTAGTCACCACCCATCTCAGAGAGTGATTCTGGGCAGTTTACAATAAAAATAAGAATAAATACCAATTAAAATACAATATATCATATTGTATATAACATAACATAACATAACATAACATAA